TGTCTCGAGGAAATGATGTCATTATGGAAGAGGTAAGGAGAAAGAGAAAGGGCTGGAGAGATGGTCTCAGTGGTTAGGACCACTTGCTCCTCTTACAGAGGATGCAAGTTCAATTCCCAGCACCCATATCAGCCAGTTTACAACTGCCTGCAATCCCGTTTCAGAGAATCTGAGGCTCTCTTTTGGCCCTGAAAGGCATTGGTAGGCATATGGTGTGTATACATACACTCAGGCACAGGCACACAGGCATATACATAAAATGAAATAGAAAAATAAATCTTAAAAAAAAATGAGCCAAGCTGGGTAGTGGTGGCACACACACCTTTAATCCCAGCATTGAGGAGGTAGAGGCATGTGGATCTCTGTGAGTTCAAGGCCAGCCTAGTCTACAGATCAAGTTCCAAGACAACCAGGGCTACACAGAGAAACTCTGTCTTGAAAAACAAACAAAACAAACAACAGAAAAAGTAGAGGGTGAAGACGGGCCTCCATTGGTGGAGTGCCTGCCTTGCATGCATAAGGCCTAGGTTCCGTCTCCAGAATGATACAACATGGTAAAACATGCCTGTATTGCCAACACTGGGGAGGTAGAAACAGGAGGATCAGAAGAAGTTCAAGGCTGGGTCGGGGAATGTGGCTCCGTTGGCAGAGTGCTTGCCTAGCATGCACAAAACCGCAGCGTCTATCTCTAGTGCTTCATTAAACTGGGCATAGTGGTGCACGCCCCATTGGCATTGCTCTGTGACTTCTAACATTGTCTCCTGTGTCAAGCAACTCAAAGAAAACACAGATTCAAGTAACGGATTATTTTAATCCTGGGAGCTTCCAGGGCCTCCTGTTCCATGCCTGTGCTCTCTTTGTGTGTGCACACATGTGTGGGTGCATGTGCTGGAGTACGTGGGTGAGTGAGGCCAGAGGACAACTGTGACTTTCATCATTTAAAGGCCGTTCACTGGCCTGGAGCTTGCCAAGCAGGCAGGGCTAATGACCAGCACGTCCCAGGGATCCTCTTGTGTCTACCTCCCCAGGACTGGGATTACAGGTGTGTTCCATGTCTGAACTTTATTTATTATGTATACAGTGTTCTGCCTGCATGTATGCCTGCAGAAGCGGGCAACAGATCTCATTACAGATGGTTGTGAGCCACCATGTGGTTGCTGGGAATTGAACTCGGGACCTCTGGAAGAGCAGTCAGTGCTCTTAACCACTGAGCCATCTCTCCAGCCCCCTTTCTTTCTTTCTTCCTTCCTTCCTTCCTTCCTTCCTTCCTTCCTTCCTTCCTTCCTTCCTTCCTTCCTTCCTTCCTTTCTTTCTTTCTTTCTTTCTTTCTTTCTTAACACAAGGTCTCATGTATCCAGGTTGGCCTAGAACTTCCTATTAGCACGGGGTACTGTCAATCACTAAATCTACTGCCTCCACCTCTGGGGTGCTAAGATTACAGGCATGCACTACCACACCTGGTTTTGTGAGATGCTGGGAACGGAACCCAGAGACTCATGCATTCTAGGCAAGCACTCTACCAATTGAGCTACATTCCACCCTCCGACAGAGTTTCTCTTAGGTAGCCTTGGATTTGTGATCTTCCCGCCTCAGTCTCCCTGTCTGGGATTACATGCACGAATGCTCACATTCTGCCTCCCCTGCCCCCCACGGCCCCTCTCTGAGTGGTCCATCTCATTCCCACACTTCCACAGACAGCAGGTGTGGATAAGCAGTAGAGGCATGCCTTATGGGGTTACGACCTTGTGGGGCCACATTTCCGGGCCTGTCTTCTTTCCCCATTGCACAAAGCTGGGCCTCCGGCTGGAGCCTGGGTTATCTTGGAAGGGGTGTGTGTGCAAGATTAGGAGGTCTGGAGTCTGGACAGACAGGGAACCTTGTCTTTGGAGACACCCCTTCCCCCAAACACATGGTGGCCTTTTGTCTGTCAGAACTCTTGACACCCCTTTCATCTGACGCAGAAACAAGGAAATGGGAAGCGGATGTTGCAAAGGGCGTGCAGGGAGGAGAGTAATGTCTGCGTGTCAGGAATGGAGCGGGGGAGGGAGACAGGGCGACGATGCGCCCCGGTGCCATCTTTTCTTTTTTGTATTGGGAAAGTGTTCTGCACTGGGCTACATCACCGCCCCCCCCTTTAAATTTTAGTCTGACTTATTTATTCTCAGATGTGGGTGTGGGCTGGCTCATGCTATGACCCGTATGTGTGTGAGGTTGTCAGTCTTGGCAGCAAGCACCTTTACTCACTGAGCAATCTTGTCAGCCGCTCGTTGCATTTTCTTTTTTTAAAAATGTGGAAAATGAAATTCATTATATATCTATAATATGTACATATACATACATACTACAATACATGTATCTCTCTCTCTCTCTCTCTCTCTCTCTCTCTCTCTCTCTCTCTCTATCTATCTTGAGCCCTCCTAATAAGTCATTTATTGCCCAACTCTTGTATTTGACCTAACATCCTTGGGACTATTAGGTACAATCTTTTTAGAAAGGTACAAACAACTTCCACCAACCCAAAGGCTAAGAACGTTCTTGGATAGCATCTGAGCTCTATGGCAGAGATGGCCTCTCTTTCCTGTGTCCCGCCTACCTGATGTTCCCACCCAGGTATTTGAGAAATACCTTGACTTATGACTTTCTTTGTCCTTTGTTAATGTAAACCTTGATGACACTGTTACCCCACTGGGCCGTGGTATTTGGGGTAACCTAAATCTGATTCTGGACCATGGTCACTTCTTTTGGTTTCAGAATAAATCATCTTATTACCTTTCAGGTGTGAGCTGTGTTTTGTGTTAAGAGGGGAGGGGACCCTTTTAGTCACAGAATTATTCAAATGTATACAACGTGTACCAATCAGTCTGCTTTCACAATCATCAGCATTAGCTACTGTTTTTCTTTTAGTGTGTGTGTGTGTGTGTGTGTGTGTGTGTGTGTGTGTGTGTGTGTAGAGATGAGCATCAGATGTCTTTCTCTATCACGTCACTGCACATCTTATTTGTTAAGACAGGGACTCAATGTGAGCCTGGAACCCAATGTTTTGGGCAGGCTGGCTGGCCAGTGAGCCCCTGGGATTCGCCTGTCTTCCCCATTCAGCACTGGGGTTACAGATATCGCACCTGGCTTTTCCATAGATGCTGGGAATTGAAACTCAGATTCTTTTTTTTTTGGGGGGGGGTGTTCTCTGTGTAACCCTGGCTGTCCTGGAACTCAATTCTGTAGTTTGAAGCTATCCTCAAACTCACAGAGATCCACTTGCCTCTGGCTCCAAACTCAGATTCTAAAGCTTGTGTGGCAAGCACTCAACCCATGAGCCACCTCCCACGATCGCTCCACCTCCAGCATTCCTGCCAGCTCCTGTGTGCCACGCTCTGGATTATGGCATTCCTGTTGCTTCTAGGGAGCTGCAGTGGGGCCCATTACTCATGGTCTTTATGGAAGATCCTTGAGGAACCCTTTAACACGAATTCTCTGAGTCATTCTACACTTGCTTCCTGTCACTGTCCCAAGAGATGCAGCCTTCAGCAAGAGTGTTCAACTTATGACCATCTAGGTCCTCGATGAAGATAAACAGCAGCTTGGTTGTTTTCTTGTTGAAGAACCACAGAACCAGGCAATGTTGTAACTGGCAGTTCCTTTCTCCAGCTCATGAGAATAAAATGTGAAAATTAAAAAAAAAAAGTCATATTTTCTCCAGGCATGGTGGTGCATGCCTTTAATTCCAGCACTCAGGAAATAGAGGCAGGAGGGTCTCTGTGAGTATGAGGCCATCCTGATCTACAGAGTGAGTTTTAGGACAGCAAGAGATGCATAGTGAGACCCTGTCTCAAATGAACAAGCAAAAAAAAACCCCAAAAAAATTAATACAGAAAGGTTTCTACTCTCCTACCTACTTTCTCACCTTAGCTTTTTTTTTAAGCTCAGACTTACCTCAAACTCCTTATGTAGCTAAGGATGACCTTGAATTCTTAATCCTCCTGTTCTGCCTCCCAAATACTGGTATTTCAGGCTTGTGCCACTACACCGGGCTAAACTTCTATTGTTTCTGAAATGTGTAAAAGAAACTAGACGTTGTCTACCCTTTGCAGACTGGCAAAAGGTATCACCTACTCGAGCTGATGCACTGTATCAATAATTTCTCTCCCATTACTGCTCAATATTATTTTATGATATTTATGTACATTTTAGCCCTTTATCTGTTGAAGGACATTACTAGTTTGGGGCTATGAGTAAAGGTGAGGCAAACATGTGTGTACAAGTTTTCAACTGCCCAAGGATATAGAGGTCACAATTTTGGGTTTTAGTTAACCGGGTCTCTCATAGCCCAAGGTGTCCACTAAGTCCCTATGTAGCCAAGGCTGGCCCTGAATTCCTCCTGATCCGTTTCTGCTTCCAACTCCCAAGCTGTCATTGTCTTTTGTGTGTGGGAGGATTGGGATGTGAATTTTACTAGTGTGTGCTTAAGTGCAGAGGTCAGAGGACAACTTGTGGGAGTCAGTTCTCTCGTTCCATCCCGGGTGACTTTGGAATTGAGCTCAGATTGTCAGGCTTGGTGGCAAGCTCCTTTAACCTCGGAGCCATCTTTTCGGCCCCCAGGATGTGCACTTAAAATTAAGGTAATATTCCGTAAATTCCTATAGTATTTCCTACTCAAATACAAGAATTCAGGGACTTTGCAACGAGCCCGCTTCCACGTAACAGGGAAGCTTTGATCGACGTTCAGAAGTGACCGAAACCTTTAGAACGCTCTGGGGGCACCGCGCAGGACGTCTAGATGCGAGGGCAGTGACCATTTTGTTTCAGTGAAAGAGGACAAACACTCTAATCCCAGAACAAATGCGAAGACGATTTTGACAGGTAAGGACGCCACATCCGCGTTCCCGAAAGGACAAGTAGTCTTGCAGGGGATCCGTAGGGCACCTACGCACCGGCGCGCTAACGCCCCGCCTTAAGGGCGAAGTCAGTTTGTGAGGGCGGAAGTGCGCCCGCCCGGAAGCTGGAGGGTGGAGCGATGGGAATGACGCGCAGGAGCGCCAATGGAGTGCCGCGGCGGGCTTGTTGTCTTACACCGGTGGGTAAGGGCTAACGGTTTCCGGTAGTGGTAGCCCCCCCGGAGGTGGGAGCGAAGAGGCGAGGACGCGTCCCGAAAGCCCGGACCCCTGCAGCGCCTGCGAGATGATGGGCTACGAGGCGTCCGAGTTGGAGTCTATGGAGGGCGAAGAGGCCGTGGAGGCCCCGGGGCCAGCCCCGGAGCCGCGAGCCCCGGAGCCGCGAGCCCCAGAGCCCGAGCCCGAGCCGGGCTTGGACTTGAGCCTGAGCCCGAGCCCGTTGCCCGAGAGTCCGGAGCGGCGGGACGGCAGCCCGGGACGGCGGAAGGGGCGTCGGGGCGGCAGCCGGAGGGGGCGGCAGGTGAGCAGCGGCGAAGCCCCGGCCCCCTGCTCGCCTAGCGTCCGGGACTCCGCCGCTCACCGTTCCGCCCTCTACTCCCAGGTTCGTTTTCACCTGGCGCCGTCCTCCCCGGGGCGGTCCGAGCCGCTGCTCGCGCCCGGTGCACCGAGCGACGATGCCGCGGCGCCGCACGAGCTGGAGGCGCCGGCCCTGCAGAGCAGCCTGGCTTTGAGTCTGGAGCTGCAGCATGCGCGCGCCGCCGTCGCCAGCGGCCAGTTTGATGCCTCGAAGGCGGTGGAGGAGCAGCTGAGAAAGTCGTTCCAGACCCGCTGCGTCCTGGAGGAGACCGTGGCGGAGGGTGAGGGGGACAGGCGCCCGCCCCGGCGCGGTGGTCTGGGGGAAGGACGCTGCTCACCCTCGCTTTTCCTGCGCTCGCAGGGTTGAACGTGCCGCGCTCTAAGCGACTCTACCGAGACCTAGTGAGTCTGCAGGTGCCAGAAGAGCAGGTTCTGAACGCGGCGCTGAGGGAGAAGCTGGCGATGCTGCCGCCGCAGCCCCGAGCCCCGCCCCCGAAGGTGAAGGAAGGGATCGGGGATCTGGCTTCCCCCCCCCCCCCCCCCCCCCCCCCGGGCTCTCTTCCTCCATCCGGAATGTAACCTTGCATTGGGCCTCACCTTCCCCACAGGAGGTGCTCGGGCAGGGACCAGACATGACCATGCTGTGCAACCCAGACTCTCTCTGTTACGAATCTCCGCACTTGACAGTGGACGGGCTGCCCCCGTTAAGGCTTCAAGCCCGGCCCCGCCCTTCAGAAGATACCTTTCTCATGCATCGGATGTTGAGGCGCTGGGAAGCGTAGCCTCCACAACTCCCCATATTGCCAGTCTGTACTTTCGTTAAAACTGTTTCCTCACAGAATAAAGTTTTTTTTTTTTTTTTAAAAAAACAACTTAGTTCCTCGTGGGAAGAAGCTACCTGTAGGTGTAAATTTTCTTCCCTCCCCCCACGATGGCAAGTGGAAAGCCACCGTCTAAGTGTGGGGTCAGATTTTCTTTTCCGCTTAAATCACCTTTGTTTTGGTTAGAATTAGAATTTCAGACTTAGCCTTACATCATGGTGCCCTATCCCAGGACTTGGGAGGCCGAGACAGAAGGATCCTGTGTTCAAGGAGTCTGAACTATGCAAGTTATTTCTTTTAATGTGGTTTCAGGCTGGGTAGGTTCAGCTCAGTGGTAGTATCTAGTTAAGCATGTACAAAGCCCTAACTTTAATCCCCAGAGCGCGAGTGCGTGCGTGCGTGTGTGTGTGTGTGTGTGTGTGTGTAAGTGTATGCACAGGTAATAGAATGCTTTAGATTTCCACTTTGGCTGAGTGTGGCGATGAACACTTGTGAGGTAGACAGGAGGGTTGGGAGTTCCAGGTCAACCTAAGTTAGGGGATACTGTCTCAAAAACCACCATAGGGAAAAAAAATGCACCCTCACTCTGCCCCATTTATAAGAACAACTTTTAATGTTTTAATCTATATAGCTCTGGTTGTCTTGGAACTCATGTAGGCTGGTCTGGTCTTGAACTCCGATTTGCCTGCCTCTGCTTCCCAAGTGCTAGGATTAAAGGCATGCACCACTATACCTGGCTATTCAAATACTTCTGTTCAAAAAGTATTTACCCAAATGTGGGTATTAACATTAAATAACTGCTTGAAAGGAGACTTTCCCTATTTCATTTGAGTATTGCCCGTTTTGTGTGTGACTAACAGAGTGCTCAGTGTTTGTTCAATGCAAGGTTCCAGCAATCCTTGACAAACCAATGAAGACCTTCACTGTGCAAACCATCATGGGTCCTAGAGCAGGTTATTGGCTCCGGGCTCCACTTAACCCCACTGCCAAGCCCTCCAAAGTTAGCCTTCCACCTCACACTCCCATACACAAACACTTGTGGGGTTTCTTTTGGAGGAAGGTAAGTGGGACTCAAGCTACATACCAAAATTTGCATTACCCCTCCCCCTCTCCCCTTTCCTGGGTAGTGTTTAAGGACCAGGCTGTAGGCAAGTCAGTAAGGATGTTTTCTTAGTTGATTGATGAGGATAGGGCCTTGGCCCATTGTGGGAGGGGCAATCCCTGGGCTGGTGGTCCTGTGGTTCATAAGAAAGGCTAAGCAAGCTATGAGGAGCAAGTCAGTAAGCAGCACCCTTCCATGGCATCAGCTCCTGCCTTCAGGTCCCTGCCCTCCCCTACTTGAGTTCCTGTCCTGACTTCCTTTGAGGATGAACTGAGATGTCAGATCTTTGCTCATGGTTGTTTCATCACAGCAGTAGTAACCCTAACTAAGACAGGTACTAACAGTCTTCCACCCACGAGATACTGTCTCACCATGCAGCCCACCCAGGCTGGCCTCAAACCTCAAGAGATCAGCCTGTTTATTTCCTCCCAAGTCCTGGGATAAAGGGCCAGTGTGCAACAACCAGCAAAACCCAGCCTCCTGAGACTCTGGGATGGGCAGACCACATATTCCTACTAAGAGGTACCATCCCACTAGAAAGTGCCAGACACAGGTGCAGGGGCCACTGCCCTAGTTATCAAGTTTATTGTGCTGTTCTCACATTCCAAACCTAGCTCCCTCTCCCACCGGGGGACAGCAGAAGGAAGGATTTTCACAGTACCTGTGTGTCTCCTTACCAAACTTCCCCTCTAACACCCTTAGTCCATACATGGTCCACTTAAGTGCAGCTAGGAACAAAGGCCGAGAAGCGGGAATCTCCTTTGGAGAACAGGAGGAAGGGCCTAGAGAATTGGACATTCTCCCTTCCCATGCCCTAGGAGGACAGTCAGCAAACAGTCCATGCCATCCAGCCCAGCAGGCTGGGAGAGGAAGCTGATGTAATTCCAGCACAGCTGGGCTTACTCAAGTGCCGGAGGTGTCAGGGAGAAAACTTGGGAGAAGCAACTTAAGAAAAGCTCTCTTTACAGATCCAAGAAAGGAAACTTTTTGGAGTTAGACAGGAAAGACCTTGGGATAATTTCCTCTTCCCCCAGGTCCTCAGGAGCAGCAAGGGCAGCCTCTTCACACCTTCTGTTCAGAAGGCCACTTAGTGGCTGGGGGAACGGGCCTTGTGGAACAAGTACACAGGACGCTGGAAGCCTAAAAAGAGCACACAGAAGATAGGTGGGTAGGACCTTGAGATTCTCCACGGGGCCAGCACCCTCTCAACCAGGACCCATTCCTCCCAGTGACAAAGCAAGCCACTCTTACCTCTGGAGGTGTTACTCGGTGTGGCCACAAGCTCATAGCTGGAGAAGCCCACCTCTGGAGATGTCAGGTAGGAACTGAACTGTTCTGGCTTCAGCTGGATTCGAAAGTAGTTCTTATAGATTGTTTCCTGGAGAAACAGGGGAGGGGGGTCACTTCAGCTCACCATCCCTTCCCCTGGCCAAGAATGACAGACACCGTTTTCTCTTTGCTCACAAAGTCTGAGCTGGTATGGTGGTACAAGCCAGTCATCTCAGGTACTTAGAAGGCTGAAGCAGGAGGATGAAGAGTTCAAGATCAGCCTGCACTATGGAGCCAGTTCAGGCTAGCAGCTTAGCCAGTCTCGAAATAAAAAGGGCTGACTAGGTGGTTGGTGGCGTATGCCTTTGATAGCCCAGAACTCAGGAGGCAGAGGCAGGTGGATCTCTGTGAGTTCCAGGCCAGCCTGGTCTACAAATCGAGTTCTAGGACAGCCAGGACTGTTACACAGAGAAACCCTGTCTTGAAAAAACCAAATAAATAAATAAAAATAAATGGGGGAGGGGGGAAACACCCAAAACAAACAGGCTGGGGCTATAGCTCACTGGTAGGACACCTTCCCTGCCATTTGTGAAGTCTGGAGTTTAGTCCCCAGTGAAATAAAAAGATGATTATCCCCATCTCTACAGAAACCCAACTCACCGTCAGAGACTTTCTCCTGCAGTAGGAGGACCATGGTTGGGGCTCCAGAACCAGAATGCCCCCAGGGCGCAGATGGCGGTAGATCCGGCGGAACATGCGCTTCAGCCCCTCGTCACCCCAGTTCAGGTGCACCCACTTGGTGAGGCTGAGGCAGAGCACCACATCATACTCAGGTCTTTGGGCATCCACCAGCTCATCTCGGTCCAGGACATAGTTACCCTGAGGGCCAGAAGAGGGGAAAGAGGTCAGAAAGAGGGTTGAGAAACGCCACTGGCCCCACAACCACCTGCAGACTCTGAGACCAAGTCCTACACACAACCTCACTCGGCCCTGGGTGGCCTTCTCGGAGGCTCCTCCCGATAGATATTTCGGCCTCATGTTCTCTCTTCTCCCTTTCCTGCCTCTGCTTCCTCCCGTGCTAAACCAAACAAACCTAAACGGGAGCCTGTGCAGATGTAAACTGAACTAATTATCTGAGGGACAACTGGAGAATACTGGAATGCTCCCGAGGCCCCAGCCTGTGCCTACCCCAGCCCAGGGGACCTCATATACAAAGGCAGTGGTTCTAAAGACCAAGGCCCTTCCATATAGGCTCTTCCCATTAGGTCTGGTAACGTTTCAGGCCTATTCTTTCTCCAATGAAATGAAAAACGTTAGGAAACCTTTGGAAGGTAATTTCATCACCACTCCCCGAAGACATTTTTTCAGGCTAAGCCATGGGCAAACATTCCTCTGGATGGCCTAACAACTGCTCAGTGGACGAAGCTGGTGGAGAGGGGACATATGCTCTATCAGGCTGGGAACTCTCTCCTCACTGCCCCTCTCCTGCTATTCAGAGGCAGCACGGAGAAGACAGAAAGCCAAGCCTATTGGGTTCCTGACCAGTAACTTCAACAGTCTGTGCTGTATCCAGGGAAACGAAAAGAAGCTGATGCAAACATGGTCCCTATCAAAGGCCCCAAACTACACATACTGGAGTGCCACCAGTCTCCCCCTCCCCCAGGAGATTTGAGGGCAAAGTTCCATCTGGGCAGAGCAGTAGAGGTTACCCCCAAGGGAAGGTGGATTGTCTGGATTATAGTCCCCACTGGAAGCAGGACAAGTCAGCCCCCATATCAGGGACGAGAACCTTGTAGTCATGAGAAAAGACCAAATGTTAGAGCCTGAAGGTAGAGATCCCACTTTTCAGGTTACAGGAGCAGAGACAACACACCCAGTAGAGATTCTCTGGCCAATCCAGACTGTTCTCTCCAGATGTTCTTGTAAGGAGGAACAGATGCAGGGATACACCTCTAGGTCATGACCTTCCCCCCAACACATTCCTATTTAATCTCATCTTCACACTTGGACCCTATTCCAAGAGCCTCTGGACTCTCTTACCGTGACGAAGACGACATTGTTGGGGAAGACAGATGTGTCTGCTCCATCCAAGGGCACTTGGGGTGCAGCGATGGGACCCCGGCTGGCTGTCAGTGAGGCTGGGAAGCAGCTCCTTTTTCGGACAGTGGTAGTCCCTTCCTCCCCCTCTGTCCCTGGGTCACCCTCAGAAGTCTGGGCTTGGAGACGAAGCTCCTCAGATAGGTAGTGTCGGATATTTTGGCGGGCAGAGTGGATAAGCCGTGGATCAATGTCCAGCCCCACCATACGGGCAGGGCCCCACTTGCAGGCAATACTTAGGGTCAGATGGCCAACATTGCAGCCCAGATCTAGGACGTCCCGGCCTTGAAACCACTCGGGCTTCAATACCCGAAGGCGCACGTCCTCGCAGGAAGGATTGCGATAGCCATAGTACTTGCAGTAGTTCCCATACTGGAACTTTCGCTGTTGCTTTTTGAAGCCAGTGGCAGGTAGTGGGTGGTGATGACGGCCTCCCCCACTCCCTCTGCCCTTTTCCTTGGAACCCTGGCTTCCACCCCTAGCCCCTGCCTCCGACTTGCTGGAAGTCCTGCGACGTTTGCGATGTCGGGAGGAGGAAGATGAAGGTGCAGAGGTAACTGAGGCAGCCGGAGGGGCAGAAAGGGAGCCTGAGGAGCCCTGAAGGGCAGAGGGAAGGGGAGACACAACCTCATCCCTGCAGTTGATGGCTGTGTTGAGTTCATAAGGTTGAGGGGCATCTCGGCTCTGGCCCCTGTGCTGCTGCGTGGCACCCTCCCCATGGAGTGAGGGGGTGAGAGGGTCAGTGGGCAGCACGGCGTGGCTATCGTTCCCTCCAGATGCCTGCTGCTGCTGCTGCTGGTGGTGCGGTCCCCGGTGTCTATGGCGCTTGCGACCAATCTTGAGTGGCGAGGCAAGAACTACATGGGCCTCATCAGTGCAAGTGTTGAGACTGAGCGGGTCAGTGATATCTTTGGGGATGAGGATCTCCACAGGGTCTCGCCCCTTGGCCGGAAGTGGGGATGACTTTGGGGTCTCCGCATTGAGCGCTCGACTTACTTCCTCATCCAGGAGGCTATTCAGGTTCAGTGGATCAAATATATTGCCCCCCAGAAGAAAATTGGAGGGTAACACTGAGTCGCAGTCCGAGTTCACCCGCCGGCGCCTCTTGAAGGCCGGATGCTTGAAGCCTCCACCGCTCCCTCCCCCTACGTTACAGCTATTTCTTCTTTTGCCCCCGCCACCCCCGGGGGGTCGGTGGGGCTGGTAGCCATTGCGAGGTCGAGGAGGGGCCGGGGGACCCAGGTCCGTCCCGCCCCCTCCCCGGCGCTCCTCCCCCACGTCCGCAGGAGCAGTGGCTCGCCCGTGGGGCTCCCCGTGCGCCTGTGCCTGGGGGCCGCCCCCTCCGCTGGCTGCGGCCCCGGCCGAGTGCGCGCGTGGGCCCGGCCCGCGTTCCGTCCCGTCGCGGAGCTCCCCGGAGGCAGCCTCCCGGTGCGATCGCACCTCGGGGCCGCCCCCTCCGCCCGACTCATCTTTGAGCGGCGGCGGCGGGGCCGGCACCAGAAAGGGCTCCTTCTCCGCCGCCATCTCGATCATCTCCTCGCCCCGTTTAATTTCCCCTTCCCAAGCGAAGGTACCGAGAAGAGATCAAGGGGGAAGCCCCCTGCAACCCTTCCTAAGACCGCCTCCCTCCCTCCCCTTCCCCGAGTGCGCGCGCAGCTCCGCCTCGCGCCCAAGCGCCTCCACCTCCCGCCCGCGACACACCAAGCGCGCCCCACTCGCCCGCGAGACCAAAACAAGATGCCCGCGAGACCGGGACAAGCCGAGGGAGCCACTGCGCGTGCGCCGCCACCCTCGTCGCCGCCGCCACTACCACTCCGCCGCGAGCGCGCACGACGGGCGCGCGTTCCGCTCGCCCAGCAGCCACGCATGCGCACCCCGCCACCACCCGGGCTGCGCGCGCATCGGGAGTGCGACCCAACTTAACGGCTCCGAGAGTTTAAATACAGCCCCCCTCCCCTCGCTGAGAGCCTCCCCCTCCCCCAGCCCGAGACGCCCACCGCCCCACACGGACACCCGACTTCCCTTCGCCGCTAAGTCCAAGCCCTACTGATATCCTTTGTCTCTGCCGTGCGATCCCACCCACCGTAGGCGGGGAACGGGAGCTGGTGTGAAAAGGTCTCCTTGACACCCGACCCTTGTTCCTGAGGAATGGGTCTCCGTGGTCTCCGCCCGGCTCTAAACCCAACAACCTCCCTGCCCCGCCTCCTTCCTCCCCCATCCCCGCCCCTCCTCGAGGGCGCCTGCGCACAATCCTTTCGGGCTTGCGCGGGTAGAAGGAGCGACACGTGCTGGCGGTGACGCCCCGCCCCTTCAGCCCTGGGGGCGGGGAGCGTGACGTCGCTTCCTCGGGTTAGGTACACGCAGCGTGCGTCAGCACGATTCCAAGGGGTGTGCGCGTTTCCCAGCGAAAGGGGCGGGGCGTGGATTATTCATGAGATCTTCCCTCTTCCTTCCGCCCATCTAATTAGAATTAGGGGGACTTAATGGGAGTCGTAGGGGGAGAAGGATAAAGTAGGCGAGGAATCAAGCACGCTGCCTCAAGAACTGTTATCAATAAAACGCAATACATCATTTGAGATAGTTTCTGAATTGAAAACAATTAAAAAAGAGCACTAAAACATCCGACGGGGTCCAAGTTCCTCTTCCCCTGAGGAGGCCCAGCCGTTCTCGCGACCCTCCTCCTTTCCCCAACTGCGAACACCTAGAGAACCACGCCTTCCCCCCGCCCTACACCTACGTCTGGACTCGGACGCCTCCGCCAAAGTGCGGCGCCTGCGTATCAGTCCCCAGTGGCGTTGTCAGCGCCAGCGCCATCGCGGGTGTTGATCCTGCAGCACTGAAGCTGCAGCTCTGCTCCACTTTACACACGAGCGAGTGTGGGCGGGAAAGGGTAACGACTCGCTTTCCCCCCTGCTCCGGTCAGTGGGGAGCACTGATTCCAGTCCCCAGAGTGATGGCTGGCCGAGGTTCCCTGCCAACAGACTGTCAGAGCACTCTAGAGGCAGGAGTGGAGCTCAAGATGGTCTCAAACAAAATATAAAAGCGTGAGGGGGACGAAAAGATAAGGGTTATAGCATGAAAACAGGAAGGAGAAGGCGATTTGAAGCAGAGATACGAGAACGAAGTGCCTCAGGCGCTCCGCTGTCTATCGGAAAAAAAACCGGCACCCGCGAGGATTATGGGACTTGTAGTTTCACCAGGCCTTAGTTTGGAAGATGGCGGTATAACTCTAGCCGCGCAAACGCAAAGCGGCTTCCAGGTGCGCATGCGCACCACCTCTGAGCGCACGCCGCTGGGGGGCGGAGTTTGTCCGCGTCCTCGCGCCTCCTCTTGGTGGCGGGAAAAGTAGGTCGAGGTGGAAAGGCTGTGCGGAATGGCTGCGACAGCGTAGGCTGCGCCTCGTCTTTAGGTCCTCGTCGCCCCGGAAGGTAGTTGGCTTTTATCCAGCTGCAGAGGAAGGTGTTAGGTGCGGGGAGTCCTGGTCCCTGTCGGCTGAGGAGAAATTTTCTCCTCAGCGCCACAGCCGCCCCTACGCCTCTGCCCTCGGAGTCGCTCATTCAAATCACTCGCAACAAAAGTAACCGAGTATCGTGGCGGGAAATGAGGCCGAGCGGGAGCCGAGGGGAAGAGGCGGTCAGGGTGGGGGAATAGCAAAGCGCTGCTTGACGCTTTGGGGGAGGCGAGGGTGGTTGGACTGCGTGGGACCCCGTTTTTAATGGCTGGCCCAGAGAGAGCTGGTGAAGAAAGAAGACCAGTGAAAGTTTTTATTTTGGGGTTTTCTCCGTGGGGGCGGGTATTTAAGCCCCGCATCTTTTTTTTCCAGACAGGGTTTCTCTGTGTAGCCCTGGCTGTCCTGGAATTCATTCTGTAGCCCAGGCTGGCCTCGAACTCCAGAGATCCGCCTGCCTCTGCCTCTGGGATTACAGGTGAGCCCCGCCGCCCAGGCAGTGGCGCCGCATCGTGGTAGCTTGTAAGCCGAAAGGGGGCGCTCCGTGAAGGCGGAGGACACGTGCTCCTTGCAGTGAGGACATCCCCGAGGGCTAGCCTGAGGTTCTGGGACAGGGTCAGGGACGGACACGAATGGAGGCTGTCCCGAGACTGATGTCAAGAATAGAAATAACGTCAGCTGTGGCGAAAGAAAGTGTTTTGCTCACAAGTGACCACATCCTCGCCCCCTCCCTCCCCTTCCGCAGACAAGGTTTCTCTGTGTAGCCCTGCCTGTCCTGGAACTCACTCTGTAGACCAGGCTGGCCTCGAACTCACAGAGATCCGCCTGCCTCTGCTTCCTGAGTGCTGGGATTAAAGGCGTGCGCCACCACTGCCCGGCTTCTTCCCCCCCCTTCCCCGAAATAATACACTTTACCATGGATTTGATTTGTAAATTTCTATGGAAAGTTTAATTTGGTTAATTACTTCTGAAAGTAAGTCAAGGCAGATACTCCTAGTCTTTCTTTTCTTGTTAAATGTTTAAAAGGTTTGCCGAGCTTGTATGCGTGCTCACAAAGGGAACTTAAAAAAAGGTTATGAGAATAAGCAGGAATGCATAGGCTGTTGGACATTTATGTCAAAAGGCCAGTAACTCCATCTTTTTTTTTTTTTTTTTTTGTGGTTTTTCGAGACAGGGTTTCTCTGTGTGGTTTTTGGTGCCTGTCCTGGATCCCACTCTGTAGCCCAGGCTGGCCTCGAACTCACAGAGATCTGCCTGGCTCTGCCTCCCGAGTGTTGGGATTAAAGGCGTGCGCCACTGCTGCTGGGAATTAACTCCATCTTAAAGGAAATGAAAATTTTTATCTTGAAGTTTTATTACTGTTTATTTGTTGTGTGGGGTGTGTTTGTGTGTTCGTGTGTGCACATGTCATAGAGCATGTGGAGGCCAGAGGACAACCTGTTTCCCCACCACCACCACCATGTGGGTTCTGGGATCAATCTCAGGTCATTAGGCTTGGCAGCAAGCACTCCTGCCCACCAAGCCATCTCCCCAGCATTTATTGATTTGTGTATTTATTATTTAATTATTTTCAGAGACAGGGTCTTGTCTCGAAGTCACTTGTAGCCCAGACTGGACTCAGAGTTGCAGCAAACGACTTCATCAGTCTCTTAAGTGCTGGGATTACAGCCTCCAGCCACTGACTGTCTTAAATGAGATTTTCCCTGTATATACGTGTTCTGCCTGCACACCAGGAGAGGGCACCAGATCTAGACAGTTGTGAGTTACTGGGAATTGAACTCAGGACCTCTGGAAGAGCAGCCAGTGCTCTTAACCTCTGAGCCATCTCTACAGCCTTAAATGAGATTTTTTAAATTTTTAGGTTTTTAAATTTAAAGGTTTTTCCTTTTTCTTTTTTTGGCAGGGATTTTCTGTAGGTCTCAAACTAGAACTCACCCTCCTGCCTCACCCCTAGAGCTGGAATTCAGACATGACTCACTATCCCAGCTTAAAGGAGGTTAAAATTAGTCCTTTTTAACAGCGGAGTCTTGCAATATAGCCCTCAAATTTGAATTCTAAATCCTGCCTTAACCTCATGAGTGCTGGTATTAAATAGAGTCTTTTTGAATTTTAGAAACTCTTGGAATTTATGATAATAGACAATACTGAAGGATTTGCTTTTCCTTAAGGAATGGAGAATCAATATAAAGAGGGAATAATTGCATATTCAGGAGGGGGACATCATAAGGTGCATAATTAATGCTTTTTGACAAATATTGGCAGCACTAAATTAAAATATATTTGTAAACATATTTTTAAGTTTATGAGTATATGTTATTTATAATAATGGTTTCATTATGATAAATTTGCCATGTGTATATTTCGATCATATCCACCCCAACTAACCTCCAACTACCTCTCTTATTTCCATCTTACCAGTGGCTTCACCTTGAAAATGTTTCTCTCCTCAGCAACTAGTGCTGCCTTCGGATCTTTGTAGAGGGGTGGGGTCTTATGAGTCCCCTCCTTGCTTTTTTTTGTTCACTGAGGTATGGTCTTGTGTAGCCCATGCTGGCCTTGAATTTCTCATCCTGATTAGAGGTTTGTGTCATCATGCTCAACATACCAGATTTGGTCTCTTATACTCTTAAAATCTGTGGAGAAATCCAAGAAGGTTATTTTATTTTATAAGTAAGTATGTGTGTGTAAACCATATATGTATGAATGCCTGAATAGGCTGGAAGAGGGTGCCAGATCCCCGGGAGCTGTGATTATAGGCAGTTGTGAGCCACCCAACATGGATGTTGAGACCTGAACTTGGGTTCTCTGGAAGAGCAACAAGCATCTGCCCTTATCCTCAGAACTGTCTTTCCAGCTGGGATTGTCTATCTTTTTTTTTTTTTTTTTTTTTTTTAAATTTCCCTCCCTCTCTCCTTTTCCTATGAGAGAAAAGAGAAATTAAAACCTCAAATGGAGACTGGGGAGATAACTCAGCAAGTAAATACCTACCTTACAAGTAGAGGATCCCTGACGTGGTGGTGTGGGTCTGTGACCTCAGCACTGGGAGGTGGCACAGTTGGATCCTGGGGGCTTGTTGACCAACCAGTCTCTCTGAAATGGCAAGCTCCAGGTTCACTGAGAGACCCTGCCTCAGAAATATAAAGTGGAAAATGATGAAAGACTTCATATCATCAGCTCCGCCTTCACACTCTCACAAGTGCAAGTTGATATTTTGCGTATTTATTAACTAGTTTTTTCCTCTCTCTGGACCAGTTTCTTAATATTTGTTATTGTAGAAGAAGCAAATTCATCTCAAACAGGGAGCAGCAGCTTGACTTATCAGAAAGTAACTTCCTGGATTTCTCTTATCTATTAATTGGGGTAGAATTGTTGAAAATAATATTCATCTCATTCCATCTTCAGATTAAGTGGAGCTGTTTACTATACATTACTGCTTATAGAGTTGCTACATCTTATTAATGTAATAGTGCAATAATGCTCCATAACTTTTTTCTTTTTTATGAAAAAATTAATTAGATCTATTCATTTCCTTTGTGAGCATTTTATCTGAATGTTATGTATGTACACCATTTGTGTGCTTTGGTGTCTGCCAAGGTCAGAAAAGGGCATCTGAGCCCCTGAATTGGAGTTACAGATGGTTGTTAACCACTGTGTGGGGGCTGGGAATTGAACCTCAGTCCTCTGCAAGATCAACAAATGCTCTTAACTGCTGAGCTATCTCTCCACCCCTCCTCTCTCTTCCCCTCCCCTCCCCTCCTCTCTCCTCTTCTCTTCTCCCCTCCCCTCCTATTCCTTCTCATCCTCGTCATCCTCCTCCTCCTTCTCTTCTCCCCCCCCCCCTGTGTGTGGTGTGTGTGTGTGTGTGTGTGTGTGTGTGTGTGTGTGTGTGTGTGTGTGTGTGAGAGAGAGAGAGAGAGAGAGAGAGAGGGAGAGAGAGAGAGAGAGAGAGGTGGGGGGACAAGGTCATACTCTGTAGCCCTGGTTGGCTTGGAACTCATACCATGCTTTTCTGGAACTCACAGAGACCTGCCCACTACTGCCTTCCAAGTGCTAGAATAAAAGTATGTGCCACCATACCTAGTTCATCTGTAATTTTTTTTTTGAGACAGAATTTCTCTGTGTAGCCCTGGCTATCCTGGAACTCACTCTGTAGCCAGACTGGCCCAAAATTCAGAGATGTGCCCACCTTTGCCTCCTGAGTGCTGGGATTAAAGGCGTGCATCAATCCCTGCTGTAATTCATAATTTGTATTTTTTTCTCTGAGGGCAATGACTGCAGAGGCCAGAAGAGGGCCCCATTTTCTGGAGCTGGAGTAACAGGCAACTGTGAGCTACCTGATGTGGAAGAGCTACAAGCATTCTTAATCACTTGAGTCATCTCTCCAGCCCTATGATCTATAATTCTCCCTAGTTAGTTGGAGCTCCGGAAACATATTAGTCTGCAGCTCTGTATAGTTTTAAATAAGTTGTTTTTTCGTTTTGTTTTATTTTGAGGCCTGATTTCACTGTGTAGCCGTCTGTCCCAGAACTCACTTTGTAGACCTGGCTGCCCCCTAACTCACAGAGATCCACCTGCCTCTACTTCACAAAATAAGGTTTTGAAGCTAAATATTCTTTTTTTTTTTTTTTTTTTTTTTTTTTGGTTTTTTGAGACAGGGTTTCTCTGTGTAGCTTTGCGCATTTCCTGGAACTCACTTGGTAGCCCAGGCTGGCCTCGAACTCACAGAGATCCGCCTGGCTCTGCCTCCCGATGCTGGGATTAAAGGCGTGCGCCACCACCGCCCGGCGAAGCTAAATATTCTAAAGTTTGCAGTTTGTGAAGAGCATTCTTTTTTTTTTTAAAGAGTATTCTTTTATGTATTTAAACAATTCAGTTTTTGAATTTGTGTGTGTGTGCTCGCGCAAATGCATCAGAGTAGAGTATAGTGGCTAGCTTCATACACACACCTTGCATCTACCTAAAACTGCTCCTCAGAGACATTTTGATCAGTTCTTTGTGTTTTCTCGAGCTGGTTTATGAATATAACCGGTTATGTAAGCGTGCATTTTAAATAGCCAAATGTCACATCAAGTTCACACATTTTCACTCTGCCTTTTCTCTTTTTACAGGGATTTCTCATGATCTGCTTTGAAATTATGGAGTTGAGAGAAGAAATATTTGTCATATGTGGCCAAATTAATACTCATTTTGCAACCTTTTATTCAATTGTTTTTAGCTTGTATTCAGGATTATAGTTAGGGAAAAAAAGAGATCAAATTATTGTTTCTCCCCCCAGTTTCCACTTGCCTTTTTTTTTTAAATGGAGCAAATGTATGTGGGGACTAACAATGATGAATTAAGATGGAAACAGTATGAAAATATGCTCCTTACTATAGAAGAAAAGTAATTGCTTCAGAACAGCACGCCTGAATTATTCATATGTGTGTGTGCACATACAGATACATGAAAAGGAGCGGGGGAAAACGCCAGAGGATAATTTAAAAACACTTTACATTTAGCTTAATGTGGCCAGTGCCTTCTGAACTCATCTTGTGATTTAACGGAAGGCACCTTATACCTTGGGGTCTATCTCGTAGATTTGCTGTGAGAGTTAAATGCGATGATGCGTAAATGGTAAAGAAGAACATAGTCTATGCTCAATATGTGTCAGTGACTAGGAAGAACAAAACATTGACTTAGTGTAGGACAACTGAGAGTCCATTCCTGAGGATGAACTGTGATGGTCAAAGATATTTTCATTGCTAGGTTTTAGTGTAGAAGAGTAAGATAGAAGATGCTAAGTTCTAAGGGGACTCTTGCTGGTTGTCACATGTTTCAGAGCTATAATCAGTAGAATCCAGTATTCTGAGAATTTTTTTTTGGCTTGAATGTTGAAATAACAGAAAAACAAAGGTTTTTCTTTCTTTTGCATAGGGACCTCTGAATTAGGTTGGAGAATTGCCAAGTTATCTGTGTCCTAAGTATTTGGGGGAACTTTGTGAAGAGAGTCACCTTTCACTCCCAGCACTGACCATGCCCTACTACCACTACTCCAATACTACCTCTGCTTCCATCACTGCTGCTACTGTGTCCATCTAGTTAAGTGCCTGCCTTATATCAGGCATTCAAAATACTGAGGCCTGTGTCTCAGACCTGTAATCCTAGTTATTTTGTTGAGTGAGGCAGGAGGGTTACAAGTTCAAAGCTTGCCTGGGTTACAGAGTGAGTTCAAAGCCTCCAAAAGAATTCAAGGCCAGCCTTAGCACCTTACGGAGACCCTGTGTCAAATAAAAAAGGGCTGGGACTATAGCTCAGTGGTGAAGTGTTTGCCTGGCCAGCATGTACAAAGGCCTAAGTTTAATATCCAGTACTGAATAAACATAAAACCAAGCATTGTTGCTTATCTTCAAAGCTGCAGCAATCTGAATGCCCAGGCACAAAATCAGTACTGATGTAGGGTAGGAATGGAGTGAAGAAGGTGGAAGTATTGTCCTGGGTCCCAGACAAAGAAATCTAATCCCAGAAGACGGAAAAAAAAAAAAAGGAAGTTTAAATGATGTCTAACCAAAGTATAATAATTTCTTCTAACAGAGGCAAGGAAAGTGTAGTTTCTGAACTGGATGATGGCAACATTACAGAATTATGAAGGTGAGCCAAGGATGAGAGGTGTTCGCTTCATACATTTCTCTCTCGTTTTCCTTCCATTCATCCTTTCCTTCAAAGAGGAATTCTAGACCCATGTTATCTGTTCAGTTTGTTCAAATTGCCATTTTCCTAGTTGCATTAAGCAAAATAAATATGACTTAGAAACAGTCCTGTGGGGCTGGAGAGATGGCTCAGAGGTTAAGAGCATTGGCTGCTCTTCCAGAGGTCCTGAGTTCAATTCCCAGCAACCACATGGTGGCTCACAACCACCTGTAATGAGATCTGGTGCCCTCTTCTGGCCTGCAGTCACATATGCTGTACACATAATAATAATAATAATAAAAAAAAAAAAAAAAAAAAAAGAAACAGTCCTGCTTGGGACCAGAGAGATGGCTTAGTGTTAAGAGCACTGCTGCTCTTCCAGAGGACTCAGAGGTGGTTCCCAGCACCCACATCAGACAGTTACAGCTGCCTGTAACTCCAGCTCCAGGGGACTGGATGCCCTTTGGCCTCCATGGGCACCCACATGCCAAAGTTCACACACATTCACATAAATTAACAAAAATGAATAAATCTTTAAAAAAAACAGCCATGCTCAAAGAATGTATGAATTTACAGGGAGAAAAATGCATTTAAGTATTTATAATATGAAGTTAAATACGCTGAATGCCATGAGAGAAGTACAAAGTGTTATAGATGCCCAGAAGAAATAGATTATCACTTATACCTGGTGGGATCAGTATGCTTTTCATAGAGGAGATGGCATCAGACTAGGCCTTGGGAATTTTATTGTGTTTTGTTTAGTTCAGAGACATTCCTGTGTGCATTTTGATCAGTTAAAATTAAAAATAGATAAAAAAGATTAAGCTTTGAGTCATTTCTAAATGCTCAATAGTTTTTTTTAAAGCTTATTCTCACGAAGTTAAAATGAGCCTATTTTTAAAAAAATCAGTTCACACTTGAATAATTCACCTTCCTACATGCTTGTATTAATCATTTTGAATTAATGGTACAAAACTTGGAGTATGTTAGAACCAACTGATCTTGTCAAATTACAAATTTCGGGGTCTCACTCTCAGCTGCTTAAAGATAATCTCAGGGCTAGGGGGATGGGGTGTGCAGGGAGGGACTGAGAGATGTGGATTTGTTGAAAGCTCCTTCCATCGAATTCTGACTTGACTACTCCATGGGCAGTGTTTGGCCATCTCTGTTGACATGAGTTTCCTAAATTTTATTTGATCCTTCAGAATCTGAAAAAGGGACAAAGAAAACCTTTGCTCCACCTACACAAAAAACACATAACATGAAACCCCAGCCTAAGTCATGGAAGGAGGAAACCCTGGGGACCAGTTCTCCAGAGGCCGAGGCCAAGCCAAGCCGCCTGAAAGCCAGCTCAAAGAAGAGGGAGCATGGTCCAAGTGGGGGCCAGGAGAAAAAGCGAAAGGCTCAAGACAAACTGGCTGAGAAGAAAGGAAAGGTACGTGTCACACGCCAGTGGGACAGTCCCTCCTGCTCTGTTTCCTGGATAAGCCAGATAAACAGAATCCTTTTGTGTTGGGGGGGGTGTTACTGAGGAATGATCCCTAGACCCCATGCATGGTAGGCAAGCATCGTACTACTGAGCTATTTTTTCATTCCCAGGGGCTTTTAGCCCCGGCTGGCCTGGAACTTCTTATGTAGACCAGGCTAGACTCAAACTCACAGAAATCTGCTTATCTCCGCCTCCTAACTGCTGGGATAGAAGGTGTGCACCACCACACCTGTGTTGTTTTTAATTTTGAGATGGGGTCTTTCTCTGTTTCCCAGGCTGCTCTTGGAATTGCAGCCCTTTCACTGCCACTTCCTTCCTGAATACCTGGGGTTGTGGGCTTGTTCTGCCATTGTTTATCTCATTTTCTTTTCTTTTTGGCTATTTGTTTGTTTGTTGTATTTTGTTTTTCAAGACAGGGTTTCTCTGTGTAGCCCTGGCTGTTCTAAAACTCCCTCTGTAGACCAGGCTGGCCTCGATCTCAGAGATCCACCTGCCTCTGCCTCCTGAGTGCTGGGATTAAAGGTGTGCACCACCACTGTCTGGCCTTCATCTTATAAAAAAACACTTGGTTTTGAGACAGGGTCTTGTAGCCAATCCTGGCTTGGATCTTGTTTTGTAGCCCCAGGCTGGCCTGGAACCAATGGTAATTCTCCTGTCTCACCTTCCCAAGTGTTGAAATTAAGATGTAAGCCATTATACACAGCTTTTTCAATATTTATCTTTTTTAAAGATTTGTTTGGGTTGGGGATTTAGCTCAGTGGTAGAGTGCTTGCCTAGCAAGTGCAAGGCCCTGGGTTCGGTCCTCAGCTCCATAAAAAAGAAAAAAGAAAAAAGAAAAAAGAAAAAAGACTTGTTTATTTATTATGTATACAGTGTTCTTCCTACTTGGTGCCAGAAGAGGGCACCAAAATCAAATTATAGATGGTTGTGAATCACCATGTAATTGCTGGTAATTGAACTCAGGACCTCTGGAAGAGCAGCTAGTGCTCTTAACCTCTGAGCCATCTCCTGTTTTTTCAATATTATTCATTAAAAAATTCATTTTTTTATTCATTAAAAAAATTTCCAGTTTCTTCTGAAAGAAGCCAATATGTTTTTAGTTTTTTTTGAGATGGAGTCTCATGTAGCTCAAGGTGGCTATGAACTTGCCATGTAGCCAAGGCTGGCCTTGAATTCCTGATTCTTCTGCCTCTGTCTCCCTAGTGTTGAGATTACAGATGTGTGCCACCATGCTGCATTGTCAAACATGTTTTGATGAAAGTGTTTAGCTAGAAATAATGGGACAAGGTGGGATAAAGACTCGAGCAGAAATTCGAGGAGATGCTGAAGAGTTTCCTTTTCACCAGCTCTCTTGTCCCCAGGAGATCTGGGTAGTTTGTTGATGCCGTTGACTTGATACCTATGGTTGTTTTAATCTGCTGCTCTATGTAAACAAGGCTTCCCTGACTGGTCAGAGGTGAGAAACTGAAAAGACAAGCAATTTTCCTTCCTTTCCCCAGTCTCTGCAGGAAAAACCAACTCTTACCAACGCAGAATTTGAGGAGATTTTCCAGAGTGTACTGCAGAAATCCCTGCAGGAGTGCTTGGGTATGGCCTGGTGTGAAGAGAAAAGGCTTCCTTCCATTAGGCAGAGTGGCCGTCATCCTAGGGGTAATATAAGTCGACAGCTTCTTTCTTTCCTGCCTTCCTGAGAAAATCTTAAATGATACTTGAAATATTTAATTTCAATAATGTGATTTCAATTAATGTCAATAGGCCTGTGCTAAATCATGTAAGAGAAAGGTGAAAGAAAACTCTTTTGGAAAAGTAGGTGATACAGATCCACATGGCCTCACCTGAGTTTTCCAAATGCAATTTTAATTTACTCATATATGTTTGCAATCTACTTAGAAAAGATAGTTTCCCCAGATTTGGAGAATGTACTTTATGTGCATGTATATTTAAATTACATTTTATTATTTATTTTTTAGTGTGTGTGTGAGTGAGCATGCATGCCTTTGGTTTGTGTGTACAGGTGAGAGGAGAGCTTGTAGGCATAGCTTCTCTCTTTGTACTATGTGGGTCCTGGGGATTGAGCTGGGGTTATCAGGCTTGGTGGCAAGTGCCCCTACCTGCTGAGCCATCTTGCTGGCCCATATCTGTAATACTGGTTTGATTCTTTTTAGGGATTTGGTTTTTATTACTATTTATTTAATGTCTCTGTGTTTAAGTATATGCACAAGTTTGTATGTGTCTGTGCTAACGTATATAGATGCACGTATGGATGCATGTGTCAGCTCGTGTGGATTGAGGCAGGAAGTCAACCTTAGTTGTCGTTTTTCAGGCTCTACCTTGTTTTTGAGACAGTGTCATCACTAGCCTGGGGCCCAGCCAATTCCTCTAGTCTAGGCTGCTAGGAATCTTAGGAATCTGCCTGTCCCAGTCTCCTCAGTGCTGGGATTACAAGTGCATGCCACCACACTTGATTTGTTTTGATTTTCATGAGTTAAGAGGATTGAACTCAGGTCCTCATACTTGTAAGGCAAACACTTTATCAGCTGAACTATTTCCCCAGCCCTTGGTTTGTTTTTTAGAATAAAAAGTGCTGTCGTATAGGAGTTTGAGGAAAAATAAGATAATTTTATTGTATACATGTACTATATTTTATTACATGGCCGCCCTGGAATGAGGCTGATCAATATGGAAAGGCTTGCAGAAAGATAAGGATTTTAGTTTCTCTTGAATTTTAATGATTTCAAGTTCTATCCTGTGACAAAATACCAAAGGTAGACTCTTCTAAGCACAGAGGTAAGATATGTGAATGGAATGCTGTGGTTGAGAAATACTAGAGCATTTGTTTTCCTTTGTGTCTTCTCTGCTTGTAATGCTTTGTTTTGGAAGGGTTGGGGTCTGGCCTTAATTTTGCAGAGACTTCCTGTGCCCAACCCATAATACCTACCAAATCAGACAGAGAACCAGGAATTGCTCCTTCAGCAGATAATGAAAATGCTGATGGGTAAGTTTATCCCAGAGGGACAAGTTGAACACAGGGTGGAGGTGACATGGGTAAACTGTGACCCGTCTTCCAGTCTGTCTATTTAGTCATCTATTATACTTACATTGATTTCTCTTGGCTCAGGAAAGATGCCTGTTAGAGTTAGGAAGGAAACAGGCAAGGAGTTGGATAAAATGACCTCAGGAGACCTTAGGAGGCCTGGGAAGTTGTATGTGTCTTTTGGGAATTGAACCCAGTTCCTAGTGCATGCTAAGTATGTGCTGGACCACTGAGTTACATCTCCCTATTCAAGTCTAGAATTCCTGTTTCCTTTTAACCCCTGGACTCTTTCAAAGGATTGGCATTGCAAGTGTCTCTCTGAAAGTTTTTTATTTGAACAATATCATTCTCAGGGAGAAGGTAATAGTATCTGATACTCCAGAGATTGCATCTTCTCTGGAAGAGGAAGTGAGCTCTGAGACAAGGATATCTAAGCCAGGCCAGCCAGTTACTGAACCCTCTAAGAAGAAATTCAACAGACTTTTTTCAAGCAAAAGAAAGAAGAAAGCTGGTAAGTATCATCATATGGACTCTAAAAAAGATTTTCTATTTATGTGTATGTATGCGTGTCTGTGTGAGTGTATACCATGTGTATGTGGGTATGTATAGAAACCAGAAGAGGGTGTTGGATCCCCTGCAGCTGGAGTTACAGGTGGTTGTAAGTTGCCCAAAGTGGGGCCTAGAGCCAAACTAGGATCCTCTCTCTAGCTCCCAGACACCCTTTTTACATTTAAATAATATTATTTATTATCAGTGGCGGGCATGCACATACCGTGGTGTATGTGTGGAGGTCAGAGAACAATTTTTGCGAGTCAGTTCTCTCCTTCCACTGTGGCTTCTGGGGATGGCCATCTTGCCTGCCCAAGTCAGTTGTCCTTGAAACCTGGTTCAAATACTTATTCAAGAAATTAGAGGATGGGATAGTGTTAGGCTAAGATTTTTCTGCCCCAGGCTTAGAACTTTCTGGTGATCCTGTCACTATTTTTTATTGCCTACAGAGATCCTGTCACAATGTCTTGTTTTATTTTCCCAGAAGATGAGAAAATCCAAGATGGACATGAGTGCAGTCTGAAAGACAAACAGAAGACAATGATTCAGGATCATTCTCAGATCCGGGGCCAGCAGAAAGAAGAGGAAGGTGGTTTTGGTGAGCTCAGCTGAGTGTGGAAAAACTTGGGCTGAAAGTTCGAGATGGGGGAGATATGCAGTGACTAGGATGCTAAGGAAACCACAGATAATATCTCTTTCACAGCTGCTTCTGAGAGGACATGGGAAGAGGGAGAAAGAGACAGATTTCATCTGTTTGGTTACTTATTCACACAGTCTACACTCTGTGCCTGGTACTTTAGATGGTGTCCAGGAAGAAAACTAAGGTGTGGCCAAAAAAGCGAATAGAACAGTTAGGAGAGGGTGATGTAACAACGTCAGGCAAGGAGAGAATTTTATGAAAGAGAGAGCACCCAGCCATGTCAGATGCAACCCCAGAGAAGTCAGGATGAGGATTTAGACATGTTCAAGTACATCACAATTAGTAGCTATCAGGGTTTCGGTTGTGGCTGCTGTATGAGTTGAGCAAGGTGACTGGCAGGCTATAGTTGGTTAAGAATTGGCACTAAGATGACTTAGTTGTTAAAATGCTTGCCATGCAAGCGTGAGGACCTGTGACAGATCACTAGCACCCACATAAAAAGCACCCACATAATGGCACACTCCTGTAGTCCTTGTCCTGGAGAGGTGAGACAGGAGAGTCCCTGGGGCTCACTGGCCAGACAGTCAAGGTGCAGTGAGAGACCATCTCAAATTTTTGTTTTTTCTATTTTATTTTTTCGAGACAGGGTTTCTCTGTGTAGCCCTGGCTGTCCTGGAACTCGCTCTGTAGACCAGGTTGACATCAGACTCAGAGATCTGCCTGCCTCTGCCTCTTGAGTACTGGGATTAAAGGTGTGTGCCACCATGCCCAGCTCCAAAACTTTTTTCAAAGGTGGAGAAGCCATTAAAAAAAGACATTCAATGTTGACCTTTATCATCTACATGCATGTGTACACATGTATACATGTATACACACATAAACACTCCCCACCCCCACCATTAATTTAGATGTGAAAAGTAAGAGGGGGAAAATGGTCGATAAAAGGGAGTGAAGTGAAAATTATAGTATGGTTTTTCTTTTTATAATTACCTTTTTTTTTTTTGAGACTGTGTTTCATGTAGTCCAGGTTAGCCTTGAATTTACCGTGTAGTTGAGGATGACCTTGAATTCCTGATCCTTCTGCCTCTCCCTCCCAAGGGCTAGATTACAGGCATGTGCTGCCTTTATTGTATGTGTAACTTTATTGTAAAGGAGAGGGTTAGGAGGTAGCTCAATGGTAGAGCAGTTTCCTAGCTTGTACAAACACCTGGGCATGCCTTTCAACACCATCACAATGAAAAGTGGAAACACAACACAACAGTAGTAACATGGGCAAATAAAAGCAATGCCCCAATGGAAGCGGGCAGTTGAACATATTTATATGCCAAAGGATAGTTATTTATAGAGGGAGGGATGAAGAGATAGGACTGGGAAGAGCCAGAGAATTTATTCTTCATCTGAAGGCTGAAGTCTTTGATGGAATGAAGGTTAGGATGGATGAGGTAGGAACTCATTTCTTTCTTCTGTTTTTTGGTTTGAGATTGAACCCAAGGCCTTTTATATGCTAACCACGAAGTCTGCCACTGAATCACTTTGCTAACTTACTATTTTCATAGTAGTTCTTAGTGACTTATATGATGTGTCTGATATAGGTGCAAGAAATGATGAACAAGGGCCAAGGAGATGGATCAGTTGATAAAATGTTTTCCACAAGTATGAAGGTTTGCGTTCAAATCCCCAGAGCTCACATAGAATTGGATGCAATAGCACACACATGTAAACACAGGGAGATAGGAGGTGGAGACAGGAGAATCTTTGCAAGCTTAATAGTCACTTATCCTGGCATATACAGAAAGCAAAAAAAAAAAAAAAAAAAGAAAGAAAAATGAAGGTGACGTTGTCTTCTGATCTCCACACACATGCTGTAGATGTACATGGCCTGTATTTACATACATGCCACAGCATGCTTGTACCTACATTCACACACACACATAGATAAAACAAAATATCAAAGAAAAATGATGAACTGGGCTGGGTGTGGTGGCACACACCTTTAATCTCAGCACTCAGAAGGCAGAGGCAGGCAGATCTCTGTGAATTTGAGGTCAGCCTGGTCTACAAAGTGAGTTCTAGGACAGCCAGGGCTACACAGAGAGAGAAATCATATCTCAAAACAAAACAAAACAAAACAGAAAACAAAATGATGAAGCAAACAACCTCCCCCCTAAAACAAAAAGAGATGATGAACTAATCTGATAACCCTTCCTTCATAGAAATTACAATTTAATGTGTCAGATAGATAATAGATGTATCAAATAATGATGATATGACCTTGAGAAATTAGGTATAAGAAATAAAATAGATCACTCAATGTATCAGTAAGTTTAAAAAATAAAAAAAATAGGTAATAATTTGGAAGAAAACAGACTTAGACACATTAAAAAAAAATCGAGCTGGATGTGGTGGCCCATGTCTTTAGTCTTAGCACTCAGGAGGCAGAGGCAGGCAGATCTCTGTGAGTTGGGGGCCAGCCTGGTCTATGTAGTGAGCTCCAGATCAGCCAAAGATACATATTGAGATCATGTCTCAAACAACAACCTAGAATGGTAAGTATAAGGACCAGTGAAATAAAAATTCAGCTAGTGTCTGATAATGTGCATATATGTACATAGTTTAAATTTTTCTTTGCGTGTATGTGAGCATATATATATGTATTCATGTTGTGTTTGTCCATGTTTGTGCAAGTACATGCACATTCATATGTGTGTGTAGGCCAGAGGCAACCTCAGCTGTTGGTCCTCAGGAACTATCTGTCATTTGTTTTTGAGACGGGCTCTCATTAGCTTAGGTTGGCAGGCCAGTGAGCCCTAGGAATCCACCGGTCCCCATCTCCCCAGTGCTGATTACAAGTATTTGCCCCTGTTCCAATAATTAAAAAAACCTTTTAAGTTAGTTTAATTTATTTGTGTGTGTTTGTGTACATGTACATGTACATGTTCCTGACATGTGTGGAGGTCCCAGACAACTTGCAAGAGTTGGTTCTCTCTTTCTACCATATGGGACTCAGGGATCAACTTAGATCATCAGGCTTGGTGGCAGGTTCCCTTAACCGCTGAGCTGTCTCATCAGCCTGTGCTCATCTTCTTTTCACATGGGTTCTGGAGATTGAACTCAGGACTTGTAATGAAAAGTACTTTACTGACTGAGTCATCTCTTCATCCATACATTTACATAACTTTTTATCGTAAAAGCGTACATTGGTTTATATATTCTTGGAGAGACACACTCTGGAAAGACTGCAAGCACCAGCTTGGTAGTAAGCCTGGACTTAATACAATTACATGATAAAGGAGGAGCTGGAAGTGTGATCTCTCGATCAGCTTGTTTAGGGCTTAATCACCCAAAGGGAAGATCTAATTAGATTATTTCTCAAAAGGAGAACTAAGAAGTTTGTCAATGAATCACTTTTTTTCTGTTTTTTTTTTCTAGTTGCCAAGGAGAGGAGAGCTCTCCTGGTATAGGATGTAGAAAGGGACTGACTATCATAAATACAATCTGTAATAAATGTGGTGAGGAAAAACAACATCATGTCATGAAAGGAAACAGTGGAGCCCTAAGTAAGGTTAGGCCAGCCAGTGAGTACATTCCTATGGAGACTGTTTCAGCTAAAACCTGAAAACTAACTAGAAGTTATCTAAGTGGAGGGTAGGAGGAAGTTTTAGGTACGATAAGATAATTTGGTATATTCTGAGTATCTGTGTTCTGTGATCAGGGGAGGAGGCACAGGGAGCGGCTTCAGAAACATGGAAAGAGATAGGCAATAACTCAATAAATAAAAACAAAATTGTACCAGGCTTTTTCTTTTGGGCTACCAACTAGTTCCCAAATCATTGACACAGAAGCTTATTATTAGTTTTGAAAGCTCAGCCTACCTTAGGCTCATTTCTGGCTAGCTCTTTTAACTTGAATTAACCTGTTTCTCTTTATCTATCTTTTGCCTCGGGGCTTTTTACTTTCTTTTTGTATATCTTACTTTCACTGCTTCTCATGTTTTCTGGCTGGCGGTTGCCTGTCTGGCTTTGGGTAACTCCCTCGTTCTCTCCTCCTCCTTCTCTTGTTCTGCCTTTCTCTCTTGAGCCTAGATTCCTCTTCTTATTAATTCTCTCTACTCACCAGTCCTGCCTATCCTTTCTCCTGCCTAGCTATTCGTCTTTCAGCTCTTTATGAGACCAATCATGTGCCTTAGGCAGGCAAGGTGAAACAAATGCAACACATCTTTACATAATTAAACACACATCCTTACATTGTTAAACAAATGCAGCATAAACAAAAGTAACACACCTCTACACAGTTAAAGTAATGTTTTGCAGCATAAACAAATGTAACACATCTTTACCTAGTTAAAATAATATTCCACAACAGAGATAGACGGTAACTCAATAAAAGAAAATACCATAGACAAGAGAGATGGTTCATCACTTACAGACGACCTGAGTGTGATTCTCACCACCTAGGTCAGGTGGCTCACGACCACCCATAATTCTAGCTGTAGGGGATTTGATGCCCTCTTCTGGCCTCCATGGGCACATGCACTCATGTGCAAACATACAGATACATATATGTACCCAGATGTATAAATATAAATAAAATATTTGAAAGGCGAATACCATATAGTGAGAATTTCATCCCAAGGGCAGTGAGAAGCCATTGGTGGGTTGTATCCAGATGAACAACATCTTCAAATTAATGTTTGAAAATGGTCTTCATTAGAGAATGGAGTGTGGAGGAGGACAAGTCTATTAATAACCGAGTGCTATTATCAGGATGTGTAGTGGCAGCTTGGACTAGGATGATGAAAGCAGAGATAGAAGTGTGTGGTTTTATAATATTTTAGAGATAAAATCATAAGAACTAGGTAATGATTAGTAATTGGTAGCCTATGAGAGAGGAAATTATCAAAAAAGATTGGTCTCTGGCATAATCATTTACGTGACAGGAAATGGAAATGGGGTAGAAGA